GTATGTATGTATGTATGTATGTATGTATACAATTTCAGAACCGTCACGCAGAACAGTTAGTCACAGGATAAAGCTCTGTGTTATTTTACCATACAACTGAGAGGGCGGCGTTTCAGTACTGTTTCCTCATGGTGTTGGTCACTGACAGCAAGCCCTCTCTGCTGTGTTCGAGAACATAATGATCTCTTTAGGGAATTTTCTTTCTTTTAATATCTGATGATGTTCTGCTCCTGTTTTAAATGAAAAGTCTTACCTTCTGCTTTTCATGATGATGAAGTCTGGGAGATAATTAGTTATTAGCGGTACTGCATTTTCCTTTTTAGAAAGTGCAAATCCACTTATGAATCATAGTAAGTCTGCTAAAGAGCAAATGAAATATTTAGTTCCGCAATTAGCGGATTTGCGCATCAGCGGGCTTATGCCCACCACTGCATTCCATTGACTTCCATTACATTTCTACAGCCTAACCCTGACCACAAACCCTAAGGCTAACCTCACAGGTACCTACCTGACCCTAAAACTAACCTAAACTCAGTTCACACCTTGGTCCTAAACCTGACCTCCCACCCTCCAATGGCATTTAAACCAAACGGGGACTTGACTTAGGTCCCCATATTTACCAGTTGTCCCCACCTATAGGTGTTTTGTCTTAAAATAGTCCTCATGTGTCACCAAAAACACGTATATGCACACACACACATCCTTGTATTTGCATCAAACTGAGGACATTATATTGACTTCCATACATTTTTGTAACTGTATTTATGCCTAACCCAGATATTTTCCCTAAAATTAATCATTACTGGTTTTGGACATTAAAGAGGTCCTCACTTTACATCAAAGACCTCACTTTGATAGTAACTATGGGGCAAATGGTCCTCCACTCTGTAGTAAAAAAAACAAGCAGGCACACACACACACACACACACACACACACACACACACACACACACACACACGTTTGTATTTCTATCCTTATGAGGACTGTTCATTAATGTCCATTCATTTCCAGTCGTTTCTATTGCCTAACCCTTACCCCTTACCTTAAACTAAACCACTGCAGTACAAACCTAACACTAAACTCAATTCATACCTTAGTCCTAAACCTAACCCCTGACCCAAAAATGGAGTTCCTCCATATTAGGACCAGTCTTTGACCCCCATAAAGACTACCGGTCGTGACAAGTTAGGTATGTATACTAGAAATGGTCCTAAAAATGTAACAAATATAAGTACACACACAGGCAAAAACATTATTGGTTAGCATCCAGCAGCAGCTAATGTGGTGTTATGTCTGTAAATAGCTTTGAATTATCTGTTCATTTGTTGACAGTTTAAGATAACTTTGATAGTGAAATCAATACAGCCGTGTTTGAAGTAGATAAACTGATATTTAGGATGGCTAATAAAGATTTCTAAGTAAAAAGAGGTTTCCGTCTGACTCATGCTGTGTTTGTTTTGTCCTGCAGAGAGCTACTACAGCATCCTGGTGCAGAATGGTGTTCAGCGAGTGGCTCTGAGAGCCAGTCAGACGTTCCCCAACAACGCAGCGCTGCAAACTGCTGCCCTCTCCTGCCTGGCTGACCTCAGTAAGCACGCACTTTCACACACTTAACTTAGTTGAAGTCAAAAACAAACTAGATTAGTTAGTGGGTTTGGGTTCATCACAAGAAGTGCAACAATTCAGTGTTTTCCAAGTTGACAAACAATTTGCAGACGGGCAGGTTAAAGGAATCAAAGTAAAGTACAGTAGTTTGCACTTTAGGCTTAAACAGTGTGATAGTCTGTTGACATGTGTTTGCACCTAAATCATTAAATACAATAATGTAGTCTGACAATGCTGCACATCTGTGTGAAATAGTGAATTAGGAGGTATTAGTAATGCTATGGCCAGCTTTTACTGAGCCTGTAGTGCCACCCAGTGGGCAGCATGTTGCACAGATCTGCTATCATTTTTGTCATCCCTTTCAATTAACTGTTTCATTTAAAACCACAAAAATTTCACTTCCACTGGTGTACAAGGAAGGGGAATTACCTGTCCTGCACCTCCTCCTTTAAAAAAACTTCCCCACACAAAACATGCAGAAAGACCAGAGGTGTCAAAAGTTCTACGACTTTACTTAGTTTGCAATTATCTGTACTTTCTGTGCATTACTTTTAAAAATGCGTTTACCTGCCTCCAAGTATGAGAAGCAGTGTATAAACACTGCAGGTTCAGATGGAAATGAGGAAAATACTGTGTTGTGATGTCATTAATGAAAACAGAAATGTGTGAACATTTGGAATGAATGAAGACCACCGCTCTTTCTTTGAAGCCAAGCTGATTTAAGTTTAGCCATGAAGCCTACACGACATCACAATAACTGATCGTAGTTAAATCATGTTTCAGTTACTATAGTTATGATCCTGTGATGATTAGTGGTGACGTGTTTGGAGAATTGTTCTTTTCATTCTCTGAAGAGTTTTCAGTTCAAGCTGTATCCAAGTCATAAATCAGACCTGTGGTAACAGTAACCTGATATAAACAGGATGAGTCTTTTACAGTGATGTCAGTTAAACATAATGAAATCATCACATCATAGATATATGCAACATCATCACATTTGCTTTATATATGATTTGAAACCAACAAATCCAGGATAACCAGACTGCAGCACTTACCACCAAGCTTCTGCACTCCTGAAAAGGCAACTTCTCCAAGCACATCACCACTTATCATCACAGGATTGTTAATATAGTAGTAGTGGTGTCGTACACCTCCACTAAGACTCTCAATTATGCGTTTGGAGGCTCTGGACTCTCGGCTATAGAGAAGCGATTCTTGCTGGAGGCGTGGCCTCTGTTGAAGTTTAAAACGATTGGATCGGTTGGCCGCGACGTAAGCGTGCCAGCTCCACTATGAAGGAGGCTAAGCTAAGAAGCTAACTGGAAATTGTGTGCGCTGTAAACATCCCTACTGAGAGGAGAGAAGTACAGAGCCGAACGAGACGACTGTAAATGAGAGCTGCTGCTTTGTCAGACAATTTTAATTTAATTTGGAAGCCTCATCAACACAGACTGGCTTCATTCACTTCCTCCACTGCCGTGTGCTAAAATAACTAACAGATGTTGCGCAGAAAATCAGCGTTGTTCAAAACCCTGCCTTCTATTCTCTGATTGGCCCGGAAGAAATTCTCCAGAATAAATCCTTGTCTGTGGGAGAAATCCCAGACGGAGCAGTGAAGAGAAACTAGAATTGAGCAGAACTGTGTAGGAAAGCAAGGGCCAGGCTAGATCACTACCAGTATATACAACAATTTGTTATTTGTGACAACCTCAACATTTAAAAAAAACCTCACAGACAAACCAACGCTACCAAAAGCACACACCCCTTGGCCAAGGTAAATAGACATAATATTTTATATGTGCTGAATATTGGGCCTCCTCTAAAGGCCTAGAAGGCTCTGAGGATTCCCCTCTGGTTCAGATATGTTGTTGCGCAGTATTTCCACCATACTGATTCCTTCTGTCAGCTGCGACCATCGTGCAGAGCAAAGCAGCGGCTGCGCAGGGTTTGGAAGAAGGAGAGGAGGAAGAGAACCGGGGACAGGAGCAGGTGGAGGACATGGGACTTTGCTGGATGGAGGACTGCTGCACAGCCCTGGAGCTCCACGCTGCTGAGCCGGCTGTTCAGGTGAGTCCAACTTCTGCCTTTTGAACCGGAGCTAATGTTCAACCATTTCGAATCATATCCTCTGCTTCAGGAAGCTGCAAGCTGGGCCATTTATAACCTGCTGCTGCACGGAGCACACGTGACCCATTCAGAGGAGGAGCATGATAGCAGGTAGGAGCGACAAAGTCCCAAACAGCATCTGTACGAGGGTCTTTGATGAATCATTGAGACGGATGTTTTACCTTCCAGGACTCCTGTTCACAGACAGTTAATGGCTGCCATGCTGCTTCACTCCTCCTCACCCAGCGTCTTTGTAGCAGCTACCAGCGCCATTTCCACTCTCATCTCCAACAACAGTGAGTGGCCAGCTCACATATAACCACACAGGCTTGATGATAATTTGAAAAGTGCTTTCCGTCCAGAGAAACTGAGATGTTTATTCTCTAAACATGATCTCCCAATAGCTTTAAAACTCCAAAACACGTTACGATAAAGACTAGTTCACCCTAAAGATCCGGTCCCCCGGCACAAACAGAGTAATATTGTGTATGCTGTTAAGTGCCAGAAGGACTGTGACCAGTTATACATCGAGGAAACAAAGCAGCAGCTGTTCAAAAGAATGAGCCAACACAGAAGAGCAACATTATCAGGCCAGGACTCTGCATTTTACACTCATCTACATGTCAGGGGTGGCATTTATAACGCTTGCGTGCACACAAAACTGGTCCAGAAACTTGCGTACGCCACTTTTCACACAAAGGTTGTGATTTATAAAATCCAAACTTGACGTGAAAATGTGCGGTGCCTCACACCAGCTCTGACCCATGCGTACGCTCATTTTGGAGACGTGAAACTGCGACGCAGATGGTGAAGTGAGGAATTAGAGCCACACTGTGTAATGATCACTGTCAAAGATTTAATTTACCTTCATCAGACTTAGATTTTTATTCAACTTTAGCTTTCTTAACAGTATTATTTATGCTTCTGCTGCTGAGCCATGAGGAGCTTTCAAATAAAAAAGACCTTCTAAGCCAACTGAAATCTTAAATAAAAGTTCACGCAACAATTTCTTTCCTCCTCCTCACGACCCGGACCCACAGACCCCTCCCCGACAAGACACATTTCAACAGCACGGCATCACGCTTTGGGTACGCGCAGGGCGCACCCACCCTCACCGGTGTGGATGTTAGTATAAAACTTCATTTTTTAAAGTCCGTTTTTGTCACTGGGGGGGGGGCGCGCTGTGGGGACAAGTGTGCGCGCGTGTGTTAGGGGGTCTGCAGCAGATAACAAAGGAGGGGAGTACGGGGAGACGAGTGGTGAAATTATTTCTAAGTTTATCTGACTGATTTAATTTTATTTATTGTTTTTATCGTCCTGCAGGCTCTGAGAGAAAATTAATTTGAAGCTGAGTTTTTTATAAATAAAAATCGTTAGATTACTCTAAATGTCTGTAAACCTGCAAAATGAGGGAAAATCTGTCAATTACAGACATTCAGTTCACGTGAGCAGCTGTCAGTCAGCACCTGTCAACCTCGAGATGCACGAAGGAGCGTGTCTGAACCAATCACTTCTTTTGACACTGATCAGCTGACTGATTTAAATACATCTTAACATTCATGAGGTACTTTACATTGACTGTTTATGGTTGAGTGTGGGCGTGTAGAGGGTTGAACCTGAGGCGGGATGTCATGCACAAACTCTGACCTGCAGCTGTGATTTATAAATGAAAGGTGCGCAGAAACGTGTGTACGCACGGTTTTATAAATCTGAATTTTTTTTGGCGTACGCCATTTCCGCCTTTTGGTCGTACGTTCACTTTTAGTATGGTTTCCACACAATCCTTTATAAATCTGACCCCAGGACTCTGCAGTGTACACTCATCTACAGGCCAGCGGTCACTCTTTCAGGAGTGATAGAGTGATAGTTAGGAACGCTGGTTTGATAGAGGAGTAAAGGAAACCATTTCTATGAATTTTGTCATCAAATAGGGTTGGGTCCAGTTGTCCCCCTCTTACAATGCTGTTATTGCAAGTATGACTCAGCCCCCTGTGAGCAATAGGTGATGATCAGAACACTAACGATCTGTTGTTAGGCTGATGGTCCTCCTTTGCGTGTGAACAGACAGTGTTGATGTTCGTTAAACCTGTTTGTCCACCATGTGGAGGCAGTGCTTATAAAGGCTGAGTTCACCTGTCTTTGTGTTTTCTGTTCTCTGATTGGTTGAAAAGTAGAGAACACCACATTTTGAACTGCAGGCATTAAAAGTGTGGTCTTTGCCTTCAGGTAAAATGAGCTCCTTGTTGCTGTCCAGCGGCCTGCATGTGAATGTGGTCGAGATGGTAAAGAGACACTGGAACTCAGCGGAAGTTTCCATCAGTGCCTGTAAACTGCTGAGACTGCTCTTCCAGGGAAGGTTCGGACAAACCGTTTTTATTCTTTGACTTCTTTGTTTTAGAAAATCATCACAGAAAATGTGAGAATCACCATTTAATTTGCCGTTATGAAACACAAGATTTATGTTTTCTCTCACTGGTATAAAAACAAATAAAAAGTAACTTGGTTGAGTAAATCCAACACATCTTTTTTTTGAGTTTATTACAATTTTTAAAACTCTGACTGACTTTATTGAATGTGATGACCTTGCAGGACGGCCACGCTTGATGAGCTGAACACGGTCATGAGTCAGATCCTCAGCATCATGAAGGTCCACAACTTTAAACCTGAGGTTCAGCTGGAGGCGCTGCAGGCCAGCCTGGTCTTCCTCTGTCCCGGTACCATCTGAGCTCCTCTCTGATGCCATTTAGTAGCTCCTGTAGGGTTCACACATGGCTGAGGTGAACTCATTTAAAAACAGGAACCTGTCTGTGTTCTTGCTGCATATTAAAGGGATAGTTCAAACATTTTTGTTGTAGGGTAATGATTTAATGATGTAGGTAATTCTTAAAAAAACAGTACGAATAGAGAAATATGAAGGAATGAAGAAAATCTTAAGTTGTACTTTGCACCCGTGAGAAATATAAAATGAACTGTAACAGGAATTTTATGAATAGGCTGAAATATCAGGAATTTTCTTTGGGAAGTACTCCAGGCTGCACGGGAAGTGCTACAGCGATCTGCTGCTGCTGCTCGTTAAGCTTTTAGAAAACCACAGAGCTCATCGTAAATAATCAAATAATGTGAAACTGGCAGCGATGAAGCGGCAATTACAGTTCGAGATCAAACTTTTTTTAAGACGCCACGTTTGAACTAGTTTTTAGTTCATTAATGTCAGAATTAAACTCTTTCTATAAACCGAGGTACAAAAAGCAGCTGTATCCGCAACAAAAAAGATGATAGTTGTTTTTAAGACTTTATAAGAAATGACTGCATCCTTATTTTTTGTGTCATAATAAATTTATTTTCTACGTTTAACAGAGGAAGGCAAAGCTAATTCAATGCAGCTATTTTTTGCTTTTAATTTGTGTTAAAATTAGGTTAAAGTGATTTCTCTCTCTGCTTCCAGCAGTTCTTGTTAGAACACTGATTAGATTAACGATGGACAACAGAGTGGTTTTGTCTGTGTCTGCTTTCTTTGCCTCACTGTCTTTCCTGCGACCTCTAATGTGCGGGAATTTCCAGACAGGAGTGTGAGGGAGAACGGCGCCTCCGTCTCAGACCCTGACAGGGCCGACGTGGATCTGAAAGTCTTTAAGAACCAGTGCGTAGTGGAAGGGGTCCACATACTCTTCTTAGAGGTTCTTAACAGGGTATGAAGGATGACAAATTATTTCTCTAGTTCTCTGTTTTCTTTTCCTTGTTTATGTTCGTTTGTTTTCCCATAATGTATTCATTGGAACATGTCTGTCTGAGTATGGATGGTGGATTCTGTCTAGGGCTGCCATAATGAGTTGACTAGTCGACGACTAATTGACTGTTAAAACAGTCGATGACTAATTTAATAGTCGATAAATCGTTTTTTTTGTTCTTTACTTTGTTTTTCTCTCCAAACTGCTTTCACACCTTCCACTGCCACATCTGCCTTTCTGTCCTTGACACACATGCACAGTAGTGGTAACTGGGGTAGGCCATGGAC